ATGTGACTACCACTAGCTTTGCTCATAATTGTACCCTTTAAACTATTGCATCTTGAACTTGTGCTCAGAATGTGTGGTGATATTGTGATCCACATTGAGCTTGTACTGCTTTGCTTGCTCTGCTGATTACACCCCACTTTGGCTATGGGGGTGTGTCAGAATGTTATCTTATGCTCTAGCCTGTAGTGGGGTGCTCTATAGCGAGTACAACCCTTCTAGGGTTTGCTATTTGTATCACCATTCTTGCTAGTGCAATCCTCTTCTTTCTTCTAAACTTTAACACCGCCATCAAAGGATGGGTAGTAAAACAAATGGACATCGTAACGGCATTCCTTAACGGCATCCTTGAGGAGAAGATTTTTATGGCGCAGCCAGAGGGGTTTGATGATGGTAGTGGCAGAGTGTGGAAGCTGAAGAAGGCCCTCTATGGGCTGAAGCAGGCCCCTAGGCAATGGTACATGAAGCTGCGCGAAGTGTTGGAGGAGATCGGCTTCACTCCCTCAACGAACGATCACTCCTTGTTCATGCTTGGCGAGGGGGAGCAGAGGAGCTTCATGGTGGTTTATGTGGATGACATTCTCATATTCTCACATTCCTCTGACCTTATGAAGGAGGTGATGCTGAAGCTGCAAGACAAGTTCAAGTGCAAGTCCCTTGGTGACGTGAACTTCTACCTTGGGCTCCACATCGAACGAGACGTGGAGAAGCGGAGCATGCGAGTGCACCACAGAAGTACCTGGAGGCATTGGCTGCCAACTTTGGCCAGAATGAAGGTCATGTGGCTACCCCCTTTCCCTCTGGGTTCAAGTGTGTTAAGGGGCCAGAGGAGGAGAGTGTTGGAGAAGAGGAGAGGCGCCATTTTCACTCGTTGGTGGGCAGCCTCATGTATGCGGCGGTAAATACCCGACAAGACGTCGCGTTTGCTACCGGGCAGCTGGCTAGGGTTGTGCAATGCCCTAATGAGAAGCAGGTAGCAGCTGGAATGAGGGTGGCCAAGTATCTTTGCCAAACACCGACCGTTGGGCTGCAATACCTGGCGGCGGCACCAAGGCGCCAAAAGGGCGCGGATGGTGTTGAACCCGGGCGTTTGTTCCTCACCGCCTACTCGGATGCTTCATATGCATGGGAAGGAGAGGACATGACAAGTGTGGGAGGCTTCATATGCTGTGTTGGTGGAGGCCCAACTGCTTGGGAGAGCAAGAAGCAGGTTGACCAAGCTTTGAGCTCGGTGGAGTCCGAGTACATGGCACTCTTCCGTTCGGTACGGGAGATTGTGTGGCAGCGGCGTTTGTTGGCTGAATTGGGGGAGGAGCAGCAAGGACCTACCCCACTGTACTGTGACAGCCAGGGTGGAATTGCTCTGGCTAAGAACCCTGTGTTGCATGGACTCACGAAGCACATGAGGGTGAAGTGGCATTGGACGAGGAGCATGGTAACCGCGGGTGAAGTTGAGTTGCGCTACGTGAAGACCACGGGGCAGCCAGCTGACATGATGACCAAGAGGCTAGTGGAGCAGCAGCATTGGAAGTGTTGCAAGCTGGCTGGGATGGCTCTGAACTAAGAGAGCAAGATCCTAAGGCCAACAATCCGAGGGGGAGTTTGTTGGTGCAACCTTACGGTTTGCACTCGGCATGTTTTCCGTGTGCGTGCATGCGTGTGTGCATGGAATGGAATGAGTGCATGAAATAAATAGATATTTCATGCTTATAATGTTGTGTGAATGATGGGTCATGATGTCGAGTGTGTGTGTCAAGTCAATAGCGAATTATCGCTAGTCGTGTGTAACGTGGTCATTTTGTGTGTCCCGCGCGGTTTTTATTTTGTCGTGCGCGGTTTCCATTTTGTCGCTTATCGAACGTTCGGCGTGTCGCAGGTGTGTGCAGCAGACCCATCAAAGACTCAAGGATGAGTTTGTGATGAAGAACCCGAGCCCTGGTGTCAACATTCAAGTAATCGCGAAGCCCGTGAAAATGGGTACACCTCAAGATATTGAAGATAGTTACATTCCTTTGTGTAGTGTAACATTTCACTTGGTGTAGGCCCTAGTGAAGGGTAGTTTCGAGACCCTTCGTGGTTGGGGACAATGTGGCAGTGTTCGACATCACTGTACCTCGGCTCTTGGGGCTTGTAGGAGCTGGGAGTCATTCCCAACTCGTAACTCTCCCTAACTCTTCCTATCTTGTGTTTTAAGACTATAGTGGCTGCCATAGTGCCGTTCGTTCAAACCAACGCTGTGTCGTCAATACTTGGTCAAATCGTGCGATCTAATTTGCCTAGTGTAGGCGACAATAAGACGCTCCAGCTCCAAGTTGAATCAATTCATTTGAAGCTGTGACCAGAACGCTATGAACATTTGAAGCCGCTGTGCAGAAATCCGACTGTGCACTTTATCTTTCGTTTTAGGCACATTGGAGCCTACTGTGACTATAATAGCAGGGAGGCGGGTTAGAGGTAGAGGTGGACGAACGTGGTTGCTTGGTGAATTGGGAGGCGGAGGGAGGCGGGTTAGAGGTAGAGGTGGACGAACGTGGTTGCTTGGTGAATTGGGAGGCGGAGGGAGGCGGGTTAGAGGTAGAGGTGGACGAACGTGGTTGCTTGGTGAATTGGGAGGCGGAGGGAGGCGGGTTAGAGGTAGAGGTGGACGAACGTGGTTGCTTGGTGAATTGGGAGGCGGAGGGAGGCGGGTTAGAGGTAGAGGTGGACGAACGTGGTTGCTTGGTGAATTGGGAGGCGGAGGGAGGCGGGTTAGAGGTAGAGGTGGACGAACGTGGTTGCTTGGTGAATTGGGAGGCGGAGGGAGGCGGGTTAGAGGTAGAGGTGGACGAACGTGGTTGCTTGGTGAATTGGGAGGCGGAGGGAGGTGAGTATGAGGGGGGTTAACCAAGGGGTGGAGGGAGGTGCTTGGGGGGATAGCTAAGTGCGGAGAGAGGTAGGTGGGGGGAATGTGGGGGTAAATCAGGAGATGGAAAGAGGTAAGTGGGGTGAGGTAGACAAGGGAGCAAGTCGGGGGTGAGAACAAAGTAAGTAGTAGGGGGATGAGGGAGAAAAATTAGGGGATGGAGGAAGGTTTGTGGGCAGAAAGTGGAGGGAAGGTATATAGGAAATGAAGGGGAGAGGGTACGGGAAGGAAGGAGAGAAGGATTAAGGAGGGGATGGGGGAGGGAAGGAAGGAGGGAGATAGGTAGAGCGGAAGACTAGATTGGGAAGGAGGAAGGCGGTAATTGGGGGGAAGAAGGGCGGGCGTGGGAGCAAGTGAGGCATTGGGACAGGAAGCCGAAGCGAAGGCGACGGTGAGCGAAAGGGCGACGGGGAAGGCGATCATGGGAGGGGCAGCGAGGGCGACGAGGAGGCGTCGGATGGGGAAGCTAGGGAAACAGCAGGGGGAAGCGAGGGAAACAGTAGGGGGAAGCGAGGGAAACGGCAGGGGGGAGCGAGGGAAACAGCAGGGGGGAGCGAGGGAAACAGCAGGGGGGAGCGAGGGCGGTGGGGAGCGGCGACTGGCAGGGGAAGCTAGGAGGATGGGCAAGGCGATGGGATGAGAAGCGAGGGCGACGGGGAAGCGAAGCGAGTGAAGGCGACGGGATGAGAAGTGAGGGTGACGGCTGGGGATGCGTGGGCGACGAGGAAGGCAATGGGAGGGAGACTAGGGCGACCGGCAAGGGAAAGTAGGGCGACCGGCAAGGGAAAGTAGGGCGACCGGCAAGGGAAAGTAGGGCGACGGGCAAGGGAAAGTAGGGCGACCGGCAAGGGAAAGTAGGGCGACTGGCAGGACGAAGTGTCGAACTTATATGCTATAGTCTGTTTAGGCTGTAGTGGGGTAGTCAATATGGGGTACAACACTGAAGGGTTTCCTACTTGTACTCCTCATGCTGCTCAATGCAATCATTCCTTCCTCAGATTCTCACATGGTATAGAGCAGGTTCCCTAGTGGGAACGCTTCCTAAGGGCCCACCACTAAAAAATTTTATTGCCCGGAGCGCGCTTCTCTCCTGCCCGAGTCGCGCCCCGTGTGCCCTCCCTCCCGTCGCGTCCCTAGCCCTTAGCGGCCCGTCGCGCCCTCCTCAGGCCCCTAGCGGCCCCTTTCGCGGCCTCTCGCGGCCCCTCTCACGGCCCAGTTGCCGACCCTAGCGGCCCCGTAGCCCACCCTAGCGGCCCCGTCGCCACCCTGCCGGCCCCGTCGCCGACCGTAGCGGCCCCGTAGCCGCTCCAAGCGGCCCCGTCGCCGCCCTATCGGCCCCGTCGCCAACCCTTACGGCCCCGTCGCCGCCCTAAGCGGCCCCGTCGCCGCCCTATCGGCCCCGTCGCCGACCCTTGCGGCCCCGTCGCCGCCCTACGCGGCCCCGTCGCCGCCCTATCGGCCCCGACGCCGACCCTTGCGGCCCCGTCGCCGCCCTGCCGGACCCGTCGCCACCCTAAGCGGCCCCGTCGCCGCCCTGCCGGCCCCGTCGCCACCCTAAGCGGCCCCGTCGCTGACCCTACCGGCCCCGTCGCCGACCCTACCGGCCCCGTCGCCGCCCTAAGCGGCCCCGTCGCCGACCCTACCGGCCCCGTCGCCGCCCGACCGGCCCCGTCGCCGACCCTAGCCGCCCGGTCGCCGCCCTCAGCGGCCCCGTCGCCGCCCTTTCACGGCCCCGTCGCCGTCTCTACCGGCCCCTTCAACGCCGACAGCAGCCTAGCAGCCGAGGCGCCCGACAGCCGAGCCGCCGAGCCGCCCAACAACTGGGCCGCCGAGCCGCCGAGCAGCCGAGCCGCCGAACCGCCGCGCCGCCCAGCAGCCGAGCTGCCGAGCCGCCCAGCCGCCCAGTCACCCAGCAGCCGAACCGCCGAGCCGCCGAGCCGCCCAGCCACCCTGCAGCCGAGCCGCCGAGCCGCCGCGCCGCCCAGCAGCCGCGCCGCCGAGCCGCCCAGCAGCCGAGCCGCCGAGCAGCCCTTCCTTCCGGCGCGCCCCGGCCCTACTTCCTTGGACTGGTGAGCTCACTCCCTGATAGACCACTGCAGTCATGGCTACCCCCAGTGTCCTTACCTTTGATACTGAGGGTCGTGCTGTTGACTTTGAGGTCTGGGTCGATGACCTCCAGCTGTTCTTACAGTGCGATAGGGCGGACGGACTCTCACTGTTCGATCTCACCTCTGGTGTCTCTCCTGCCCCGCCTGCTACTACTGACAGCACTGTTCGCTCACAGTGGGCCACGCGCGATGCTGCTGCACGTCTTGCTGTGCGTCGCCACTTATCGACCACTGAGCGTGCGCACTTAAGCCAGTACAAGAGTGCTAAGACCTTGTACGACGCTGTAGTTGCACGCTACTCTTCCTCTGCCACTGCTGCGCTTAGCCGCCTCATGCTGCCGTACCTGTTCCCTGACCTTGCTGCCTTTCCCACAGTCGCTGACCTCATTACGCACCTTCGCACTAGTGACACTCGCTACCGCGCTGCGCTACCCGCTGAGTTTTGTCCCAAGAACCCCCCCCCCCCACATGTACATCACCCTCTACTACATAGTCACCCGGCTCCCTGACTCCTTTCGCATAGTCAGGGACCACTTCCTCTCATTTTGCCCCACCACACTCACCGTTGACCTTCTCGAGGAGCGCCTTGTAGCAGCAGAGAAGAACATAGTCGCTGTAGGAGCCTCTCGTGGTGACCCTCGCACCCCCGTTTTTAAGGGGTGTTCTCCCTCCCCCATCTTGCCCTCTGTTGCTTCTACTGCTGCGGCCGACCTCGTTGGCTTCGAGTCGGTCGGCGCTGCGTCTGTCCCTAGCGGGAAGCGCCGCACCTGCAAGGGCAAGGAGGGCAAGGGCGCAGGGGGGGCCAGTGGGGGCGGTGGAGATGGTGGTGGAGGCAGTGGAGGGGGTGGGGGTGGTGGTGGGAGTGGTGGCGGGGGTGGAGGTGTCGATGGCAGCAGTGGAGGCGGAGGAGGCGGCGGTGGTGGCGGAGGGAGCAGAGGCGGCGGCGGTGGCGGAGGCGGCGGAGGTGGCGGAGGCGGCGGAGGTGGCAGTGGAGCTGGTCGTGGCTCCGGTGGTGGTCAGCGCCAGCAGCAGCAGCACGCTCGTGAGACCCTGTCCCCTCAGCAGCTTCGTGAGTGGTACGCTGGGCGTTAGCGGGGTGGGGGTACTGGTCCCTGCACCTACGTCCTCTGTACAGGCGACCGCGCTGGTGAGCAGTGCGGGGGCACGCACTCCACCCAGCGCTGCTTCGGCCGCCTGACGGACGCTTGGCGTCATCAGTTCCCTGACGCCATTGAGATCCCTCGCTGGGGAGAGCTGTCTAGGGCGGGGGTAGCTATCTTTGATCTTGACTATGATGCTATTCTTGCTGCCATGTATGCTGTGTCTACTGTGATGAGGGTGACTGTTACCTGTATGTTCCGCCTGACCCGGGCATTGAGGCTGCTGCTCTAGGTGCTGGTGAGACTGCTGCTCCAGGTGCTAGTGCGTCTGCTGCCCCAGGTGCTGGTGAGTCTGCTCTCTCAGGTACCACGTCGGCTCAGGCCTTACACACCTTCACCCTTGACTCGGGTGCTTCCCGCTCCTTCTTTCGAGACCGCACCACGCTTACGCCGCTCAGTCGGCCGGTTGCGGTCTCCCTAGCGGACCCCTCTGGGGGTCCTGTCCTTGCTAGCTTCTCCACTGTCTTACCGTGTCCGGCAGCCCCCTCTGGCCCCCTGTTAGGTCTCTACCTCCCCTCGTTCTCTACGAACTTGGTGAGTGGAGCTGATCTACAGGATCGGGGGGTTGACCAGTTCACACCTGCGAGTCAGCGGGTGACCCACTGTACGTGTGCTCGGACGGGCCGACACTTGGCCACGTTTACCCGTCAGCCGGGGTCCAGCCTGGACACACTGACCACTGAGTCTCCTCCTGTTACTGAGTATGGTCAGGTAGCTACGTCGAGTCAGGTGTTTGCTGTAGCGTCCAGGTCTGGTCCTGAGTCTGCCCCCTGCTCGTGTCGTCTCCTGTCCCACCAGACTCTCCTTTGGTACCACCGCCTTGGTCACCCCTCCCTGCCTCGTCTCCGAGGCATGGCCTCCCGTGTCCTTGTCTCTGGTCTCCCCCGGTCCCTCCCTCCCCTACCTTCGGGGCCGGTCCCTACCTGCGTTCCCTGCGTCGAGGGGCGGCAGCGCGCCGCTCCTCACTCCTCCGAGTTTCCTCCGACACAGGCTCCCCTGCAGACTCTTCACATGGACGTGTGGGGCCCCGCCCGCGTCCGTGGCCAGGGTCACGAGCGTTGCTTCCTGTTAGTGGTTGACGACTACTCTCGTTACACCACGGTGTTCCCCTTGCGCAGCAAGGGTGACGTCACTGAGGTGTTGATCGACTGGATCCGCGCAGCTCGTCTCCAGCTCAGAGAGAGGTTCGGCTCGGACTTTCCCGTTCTGCGTCTGCACTCTGACAGAGGCGGAGAGTTTTCCTCTGCCCGTCATGGAGCCTTCTGTCGTGCACAGGGCATCCGCCAGACCTTCACGCTTCCGGCCTCTCCACAGCAAAATGGGATTGCTGAGCGCCGCATTAGCATGGTCATGGACGTCGCTCGTACGTCCATGATCCATGCGGCTGCTCCCCATTTTCTGTGGCCGTTTGCGGTTCAGTACGCGGCACATCAGCTCAACCTTCAGCCCCGGGTCTCCTTGCCAGAGACCTCCCCCACCTTGCGGTGGATGGGGAAGGTTGGCGATGCGTCTGCATTTTGAGTCTGGGGATCTCGAGCGTTTGTCCGCAACTTGTCTGCGGACAAGCTGTCCCCTCGTGCTGTTCCCTGCGTCTTCCTTGGCTTCCTCCCTGACGCGCCTGGTTGGCGGTTCTACCACCCCACCTCGCGCCGTGTTTTGTCCTCCCAAGACGTCACCTTTGACGAGTCGGTGCCTTACTACCGTTTCTTCCCCTACCGCACTGCGCCCCTCCCCCCGCCGCCGCTCTTCCTTGCGCCAGGTCCTCCCCCGGTAGACCCCCTCCCCCCTCAAGGTCCTGCCCCGTCAGGTGTGTCCCAGGTAGACGCAGTTGAGCCTGTCGAGGTAGCTGTTGACTCTGGTGCTGCTAGGGGCGCTATGCCTGCGGGTGCCGAGTCTGGGGGTGCGGAGCCTGGGGGTGCTGAGTCTCGGGATGCTGAGCCTGGGGGTGCTGAGTCTGGGGGTGCGGAGCCTGGGGGTGCGGAGCCTGGGGGTGCTGAGCCTGGGGGTGCGGAGCCTGGGGGTGCTGAGCCTGGGGGTGCGGAGCCTGGGGGTGCTGGGTCTACTCGTGTGGCCTCTAGCGGTGCTTCGTCGAGGCGGGAGCTACTCTCTCCGCAGAAGCTACGCGAGTGGTTTGCCCAGCGCTGGAGCCGTGCTGCTGGAGCTGAAGATACTACTGTTGCTACTGGTCCTGGAGGTGCTCGTCCTGGCGGTTCTAGAGCTGCTGGAACTGGGAGTCCTGCTCGAGGTGCTACTAGAGCTGGAGCTGCTGGAGGTGGTGGAGCTGGAGCTGGAGCTGCTGGGGGTGTTGGTGCTGGTGGTTCTGCTGGCGCTGGTGCTTCTGAGGGTGCTGAAGTTGGCGCTGTTGGAGCTGGAGGTGCTGCTGGCGCTGGTGCTGCTGCTGGGGGTACTAGTGCTGTCCCTGCTGGTTCTGGAGGCGCTGCGCAGCCAAGGCCGTACTTCGTTCTGCTCCTTGAGCAGGTTCTTGGTCTCCCGCCCTCTACAAGTCCTGCTCCTCCCTTAGCGTGTCCTCAGCCTGTCCAGTCGCGGTCACAGTTACAGCCTGCCTCCCCCCTTCCTGCTCCTTCTCCCTACACTGGTCCTACTGGAGGTCTTGCTGAGTGTCGTGAGCCTGCGTCTTGTCCTGCGTCGCCTGTTTGTGCTGCTCGCGCTAGTGGTCGTGCTCCGCGTCCGCGTCCTCCTGCGGTCCCCGGCACACACCAGATGGCACTGCGTCCTTCCACTGCTCCTCTGCGTGTCCCGTTGCTGTCTCCTCCAGAGTCCTCTCTTCCTACTCTTGCTAACCCTGAGTCTGACTCTCTTCGTGCTGCCAATCCTACTGTCACGCGTCTCCTGGCCACTGTTGTCACTCACCCTTCTTTTGATTCCACTGCTGCGTCTGCCTTAGTTGCTGAGCTTGTCGACTTTGCTGTTCGATGTCGTCTAGACTACGCTGCTAGTCTTGTTGCGGAGTGTGAGTCTGTCTGTCCTCCGTCCGTCGGGGGTGAGTGTGCTCTTAGCACCGACGTCCTTGAGGACAGGCAGGAGGAGTTCCAGTGTTTTGCTGCTGCTTTGCCTCATCTCGTGTCCACGCTGATTGCCCCTGAGGGAGACCCGGATGCACCTAACATCCCGACTCCTCGATCGTACGCTGAGGCGATCGAGGGCCCCTACTCCTCACAGTGGCAGTCAGCCATGGACGCAGAGATGGCTTCCTGGAAGTCCATAGGCACCTACGTCGACGAGGCTCCCCCACCTGGGGCGAACATCGTCAGTGGCATGTGGATTTTCAGGGTGATGCGGCCGCCGGGTTCTCCGTCTGTCTTCAAGGCGCGTTACGTGGCTCGAGGCTTCAGTCAGCGGCAGGGAGTTGACTACTTTCAGACCTTCTCCCCTACCCCGAAGATGACCACTCTTCGGGTGCTGCTGCACATAGCCGCTCAGCGCGACTACGAGCTTCACTCTCTTGACTTCAGCACAGCTTTCTTGCAAAGCAGTGTGCACGAGGAGATCTGGTTGCGCCGCCCACCTGGCTTCACTTGGTCGTTCCCTCCTGGTACCCAGTGGAGCCTCCGGCGGCCAGTCTGCGGTCTCCGCCAGGCGCCCCGTGAGTGGCACGACACACTGAGGACTACACTTGCGGCTCTTGGCTTTGCTCCTTCTACTGCCGACCCGTCGCTGTTTCTGCGCACCGACACCTCTTTGCCGCCGTTCTACATCCTCGTGTACGTCGACGACTTGGTCTTTGCCACTGCTGACACTGCTGGACTCGCCTACGTGAAGTCGGAGCTGCAGAAGAGACACACGTGCACAGACCTGGGTGAACTGCGCAGCTACCTTGGCTTGCGGATCACCCGGGACAGAGCACAGCGCACCATTACCTTGACTCCGTGAAGGTAAGTGGGAGGGTGGTATGTGAGGGGAAGGAGGGAAGTAAATGAGGAGGGAGAAGAGACAAATCAATGCGGTGATGGATCGAACTACTAGGGAGGAGGAGGTGGCAACGGAACGGAGGTGGCGACAGAAGGGACGATTCGAAGCAAGGAATCGAATGACGAAAGCATGGGACGACGAGAGGGATGTGTCGAGCGGTCACACTCGAGTAACGGGAGGTATGGAGAGGCGAGAGGGATCCAGCAACGGGGAATAATTATAATCGCTAGGGATCGCGGCCCGCTAGTAATACAGTAGAGCAGCAGAGACTATTGCGACAAGGGTGACTGCGCGACGGTGGACGATCGATGAGAGCTGGTGAGCGATGGGATCGAGAAAGGTTAGTAGGGTGGTACTAATGAAGTGGTTTTGGTATACTGTGATATGAATGCACGGGTTTCACTAATGAACTAAATTGACACTCGAAGAAGAAAATTAAAGAATGGACAGAGACTGTCTAAAACGAGGCTAGAGTTGAGCCAGTCGAGCCACTCTTGGGCGGTGTTCGGCAGCCCAAGGGATCCAACGAGGGATGACAGGCATCGAAAATCGACAGCCTCGCTCCTAGTTGTGACAGGTCAACTTGGGGTCAACCACAGTTGACGCCAAGTTCGAGGTCCTTGCGCAAGCGGAAGGACTCGGCGGTAATTGCGGAGGTCCAGGGTGGTAGGGTAAGGGCAACGGAAGCAGACGCCTTGCAAAATGCGAACCTTCGCGACGTGAACAGTTCCCGTAAGGGTTTGTTTGCAAGCCTCACCCTAAATTGCGAAAAATACCCTGGATATTTCTGTTGGCAAGTTTACTCTGTTTGTTCGCGTTTAATTCACAACAGCTAAAAGTCAATACTTAAACAAGAAAATCTGACCCGAGTTTTATCTCATGTATTCTTCGATAATTTTCCGTTGAGTAACATGGAAATAGGCTAGTAACTCATCTGGATGATGAATTAAAGTGCATGGCTGTTTAAAAAAACATAGCCATCGTCCGGAGCATGGAATTCTGATTCCCTGTGGAGCGGAAAGTTTCCGCCAAGGGGGGGGGGGGGGTTCATGGGGAGGATGCGGCGCGGTCACAGGTCTAGGTTGGGGTTCGGGTCGCGTTTTTTGCGAGGCCGATGTTGCTGCTGCTGCATCTGCAGCATCCATGCATGCCTTTGAGAGGGGTGCATCATTCAGATCGAAGGGGAGGCCACAGTTTCTGGGTTGGCCAGTCCACCAACTCCTACCAACCCACTTCGTGTCGTTTGCAACACGTGTAGAGGTGGCGACGTGGTCGTCACATCCTACAAACTCCCGAGCGGTCATTAAAGGATCGTTTATCTTCAGTTTTTTCATCAACACACCTCGAGTTGTGATGTCAGCCGTCTCAGGATCCTTAGAAGGTCCTTGAATAACCGTCTCATGTGTATTTGATTCAAGGACGAATGCGTGCATTTTTTTGTGTGGTCGCGTTTCTGGCGCTGTGATTTTCGCCAATGCGATTTGAACACGTGAGAAATTTGAAACATCCGCAATCGGAGGATTGCGGATACGAATTTCTGGATTGTGCCTGGAAAAGCGATTTCGCGCTCAGGTCAAACGAAAAATGACCCCTTGCTGACTCAGCCGCGCGTGCACCCCCTTGGTCACTTTTCTACCGCCCCTGGTCAGATTGCCTCAGAAAAGGACAAAGGGGGTGAGATAGGGGGTGTGATATTATCGCAAAACAGGTGGAGCAGGAATTTGGATTATCAGGCCATGGTGACGATAAACGCTCGAAATTTGGGTCGTTATTTTCACCACCAAATATCTGTCCAACATGGAAAGTTCTGACAGTACTCTGCAAAAGGAACACTTTGCTCTTTATCGCATTGCTGAATTTCGAGTGTCAGGTAAGAGGAAGCATCGAAGGTGGCGATTGGCCGAGAAAGTCCTAATGAAGAAGCCGTGATGTGTGTCTCGCCAGTGAGCACATCCCCTTCATGGCGCCAGCCAAAATATCAAACAAAGGGCCAGTGATTTCTACAACTTGGTTCGGTCAACTGTGTACAGTGATTTCTGGCCGCCCAAGAAGTTACGCCCAGCAAGCCGACAAATGTGGTAAAGATACCGCCGATGAATTTACCGCGCACCAGGTGTAGCCGAACCACGTCGAGGGTTCCGCACCAGCTTGGTTATTGTGAAATAATGAGTAATGAATGGACTAGAACAAGGGTGGGTACAAGTAGGAAACCCTAGGAAACTGTACCCCTTAGTGTCTACCCCACTATAGCCTAGACAAGCTATATGATGAATGTTTGACACACCCCCATAGGCGAAGTGGGGGGGAACAAGAGGTCACAAGACCAGTCAAGCAAAGCACAGCAAGCTCAGGGTGGATCACAACGTCACCACACATTTTGAGCACAAGTTCAAAGGCCACAAGGCCAGTTCACATGCAGGATTATATATATAAAGGTAAACATGCAAGTGCAGGTATATATATATATCACAGTACAAGTCAAGAAGTGAGCAAGTGAGACCAAGTAGGCACAAGACCTAACATAGTACAGAACTGCTGATGATCACAAGGCTGAAGTGCCTTGGTGAAGATATCAGCAGTGTTGGCCCGAGAGGCCACGTAAGCAAGGCGCAGCTGACCACGCTGCTGCAGCTCACGAGCAAGGAAGTAGCGAAGAGCAATGTGCTTCGTTCTGTGCTCCAGTCTGTGCTCCCGACACAAGGCCAGCATGGCCTTGTTGTCTACGTACAGAACTGGAGGAGAACGAGGCGGCTCTCCCAGGTAAGTCAGCAAGTAGAAGGAGCAAACCCAAGAGCCGCAAGTGTAGTCCTCAGTGTGTCGTGCCACTCACGGGGCGCCTGGCAGAGACCGTAGATTGGCCGCCGGAGGCTCCACTGGGTACCAGGAGGAAACGACTCAGTGAAGCCAGGTGGGCGGCGCAGCCAGATCTCCTCGTGCACGCTGCCCTGTAGGAAAGCAGTGCTGAAGTCAAGAGAGTGAAGCTCGTAGTCGCGCTGAGCGGCTATGTGCACCAGCACCCGAAGAGTGGTCATCTTCGGGGTGGGAGAGAAGGTCTGAAAGTAGTCAACTCCCTGTCGTTGACTGAAGCCTCGAGCCACGTAACGCGCCTTGAAAATCCACATGCCACTTACGATGTTCGCCCCAGGTGGGGGAACCTCGTCGACGAAGGTGCCTGTGGACTTCCAGGAAGCCATCTCTGAGTCCATGGCTGACTGCCACTGTGAGGAGTAGGGACCCTCTATCGCCTCTGCGTAAGAGCGCGGAGTCGGGATGTCTGGTGCATCCGGGTCTCCCTCAGGTGCAATCAACGTGGACTCAAGATGAGGTAAAGCAGCAGCAAAACACTGGAACTCATCCTGCCTGTCCTCAAGGACGTCCGTGCCAAGAGCACACTCACCCCCGACGAACGGAGGGCAGACAGACTCAGACTCAGCAACAAGACTAGCGGCGTAGTCTAGACGATAGTGAGCGGCGAAGTCGACAAGCTCAGCAACTAAGGCAGCCGCAGCAGTGGACTCAAAGGAAGGGTCAGTGACAACAGTAGCCAGGAGACGCGTGAGAGTGGGGCTGGTGGCACGAAGGGAGTCCGACTCCGGGTCAGCAAGAGCAGGAAGAGAGGACTCGGGAGGAGATGGCAAAGGGACACGTAGTGGAGCAGTGGAAGGACGCAGTGCCATTTGGTGCGTGCCTGGGACAGCAAGAGGACGCTGACGCGGAACACGACGACTAGTGCGAGTAGCACGAACAGGCTACGCAGGACAGACGCAGGCTCACGACGCTCAGTAAGACCTCTAGTAGGACCAGTGTAGGGAGAAGGAGCAGGCAGTGGGGAGGCGGGCTGTAACTGTGACTCGGACTGGACAGGCGGTGGACACTCCAAGGGAGGAGCAGGATCAGTAGAGGACGGAAGACCAAGAACCTGCTCAAGGAGCGTAACGAAGAACGGCCGTGGCCGCCCAGCACCTCCAGAACCAGCAGGGACAGCCCAAGCACCCCTAGCGTCAGCTTTAACAGCTCCACCAGCTGCTCCAGTAGCGCTAACTTCAGCACCCACAGGAGCACCGACTCTAGCAGCACCTCCATCTCCAGCACCTCGTTTAGCACCTCCAGCAGCACCCCCAGCTCCAGCACCACTAGCAGCTCCAGCTCCAGTAGGACCACCGGAAAACGAAGCAGCTCCAGCTCAAGTACCTCGAGCAGCACCTACTCGAGCAGAACCGCCAGCTCCAGTACCGCCAGCAGCTCTAGCTCCAGTAGCACCACCAGGCCCGGCAGCTCCAGTACCTCCAGTACGAGCACCTTCGGGACCCGTGGCTCCAGAACCCCCAGCAGCCCCAGCAGCAGAAGGACCTCCAGCCGCAGTAGAACCTCCAGTGCCGGAAGCACCACCAGCTCCAGCAGCACGGCGCCACCGCCTAGCAAACCACTCGTGCAGCTCCTATGGAGAGAGTGGCTCCCGCCGGGACGAAGCACCAGAAGGACCTCCAGGCCCAGCACCACCAAACTCCATACGAATAGGCCCAGCACCCTCAGGCTCCGCACCCCCAGACTCAGCAACCCCAGGCTCAACACCCCCAGATTCAGCACCCCCAGGCTCACCACCCCCAGACTCAGCACCCTTAGGCTCCGCACGCTCAGGCTCAGCACCTCCAGACCCAGCACCCACAGGCTCAGCACCCCTAGCAGCACCAGAGTCAACAGCTACCTCGACAGGCTCGACCGCGTCTACCTGGGACATACCTGAGGGGGCAGGACCCTGGTGGGGGAGGGGGTCTACCGGGGGAGTACCTAGCGCGAGGAAGAGCGGCGGGGGGGGAAGGGGAGCAGTGCAGTAGGGGAAGAGACGGTAGTAGGGCACCGAGTCGTCAAACGTGACGTCCTGAGAGGACAGAACACGGCGCGAGGTGGGGTGGTAAAACTGCCAACCAGGCGCGTCAGGGGGGAAGCCAAGGAAGCGTAGGGAACAGCATGGAAGGACAGCTTGTCCGCAGAGAAGTCGCGGACGAAAGCTCGAGATCCCCAGACATGGAACGCAGACGCATCGCCAACCTTCCCCGTCCACCGCAGAGCAGGGGAGGTCTCCGGCATGGAGACCCGGGGCTGAAGGTTGATCTGATGTGCCGCGTACTGAACCGCAAACGGCCACAGAAAATGGGGAGCAGCCGCATGGATCATGGACATACGAGCGACGTCCATGACCATGCTAATGCGGCGTTCAGCAATCCCATTTTGTTGTGGAGAGGTTAGAAGCGTGAACGTCTGGCGGATGCCCTTCGCACGACAGTAGGCTCGCAGAAGGTCGGAGGAAAACTCTCCGCCTCTGTCAGAGTGCAGACGCAGAACAGGAAAGTCCGAGTCGAACCTCTCCCTGAGCTGGAGACGAGCAGCGCGGATCCAGTCGATCAACACCTCAGTGACCTCACCCTTGCTGCGCAAGGGGAAGACTGTGGTGTAACGCGAGTAGTCGTCAACCACCAGCAGGAAGTAACGCTCATGACCCTGTTCACAGATGCGGGCGGGGCCCCACACGTCCATGTGGAGAGTCTGCAGCGGAGCCTCTGTCGGAGGAAACTCGGAGGAGTGAGGAGCGGCGCGCTGCCGTCCCTCGACGCAGGGAACGCAGGTAGGGGCAGGCCCCGGAGGAAGGGGAGGGAGAGACCTGGGGAGACCAGAGACAAGGACACGGGAGGCCATGCCTTGGAGACGAGGCAGGGAGGGGTGACCAAGGCGGTGGTGCCAGAGGAGAGCCTGGTGGGATAGGAGGCGACACGAGAAGGGGGCAGGCTCAGGACTAGACCGAGATGCTGAAGCAGACACCTGACCCGACGCAGCAACGTGACCAGACGCAGTAACCGAAGGAGACTCGGTCGTCAGTGTGTACAGGCTCGACCCCGGCTGACGGGTAAACGTGGCCAAGTGTCGGCCCGTCCGAGCACACGTGCAGTGGGTCACTCGCTGACTCGCAGGAGTGAAGTGGTCAACCCCTCTTTACTGTAGGTCAGCACCACTCACAAAGTTCGTAGAGAACGAGGGGAGGTAAAGACCTGACAGGAAGCCAGACCCGGCCGCCGGAAACGGTAGCACTGTGGAGTAGTGAGCAAGGACAGGACGGCAACCGGTCGACTAAGCGGCGTGAGGGTGGTGCGGTCACGAAAGAAGGAGCGGGAAGCACCCGAGTCAAGGGTGAAGGTGTGCAAGACTGTAGCAGGCGCAGCACAAGAGAGAGCAGACTCACCAGCACCTAGAGCAGGAGACTCACTGGCTCCTAGAGCAGCAGCCTCACCGCCACCGACACCTGGAGCAGGAGACGCACGAGCACCTAGAGCAGCAGCCTCACCAGCACCTAGGGCAGCAGAATGGATACCGGGGTCAGGCGGCACACACAGGTGACAGGCACCCTCAGCACTAGTACACAATGCATACATTGCAGTGAGAAGAGCATCATAGTCAAGAGCAATGATATCTACCCTCTGCCTAAGCAGCTGCAGCCAGGAGGGGAGCTCAGCGTCGTCGCCAAACTCTGTACGCCAAGCGTCGCTCTGACGGGCGAAGCAGCGGGACTCTGTGTGACCAGGAGTCCCGCAAGGCTGACCAGTCCGGACACCCGTGCAAATGACGTACGGGCAGCGAGCAATACTCAGTGACCCTCTACTCTAAGCGTACCACTCGCGAAGCTGCTGGGGCGAAAGGGTCTCGCGCGGACGACGCTGCATCTGCACCAGGCCACTACAAGAAGTTCCCGAACTACTCACTCCAGGACGACTCCCACTACGGCCACCCCGACAACCCCAACTAGCGTACCACTCACGAAGTTGCTGGGGCAGGAGAGACTCACGTGGACGTAGCTGTAGCTGCAGCTGGCCACCGCCAGAAGTAGCAGTAGTAGCCGCAGTAGCAGCAGTAGTAGTAGTAGCAGCGTGGCCACCCCTACAACCCCAGCTAGCGTACCACTCACAAAGCTTTTGGGGCGTGAGGAACTCACGCGGAATGCGCTGGAGTTGCATCTGGCCACGCCAGGAGCAGCAGTAGCAGTAGAAAGAGCAATAGCAGCAGGAGCAACAGTAACAGCAGTACGGGCAGGGCAGTGCTCACCATTGGCGAGAAGGGCAGGCATACGATGGCGGTAACGGCGAGGCCGCTACTACTGCAGGGCGAGGGCTCTGCGGCAGCATCAGGGGCGGCTGCTCCAAGGGCGGCTGCTGCAGGGGCGGCTGCTCCAGGGGCCAGAGGCGGCTGCTCCAAGGGCCAGGGGCGGCTGCTGCAGGGGCGGCTGCTCCAGGGGCCAGGGGCGGCTGCTCCAGGGGCCAGGGGCGGCTGCTGCAGTTGCGGCTGCTCCAGGGGCCAGGGGCGGCTACTGTAGGGGCGGGGGGGGGGGAGCAGGGGCGGTTGTCGAAAGGTCGGGCGCGTGTTAGGGCAGGGCGCCGCGGCGGGCAAGGGCGACGTCGCGCGGGTCCCGCAGGGGCGTCGCGACGAGCGAGGGCGACGCCCGGGTCCCATTGGGGCGTCGCGACGTGCAGGAGCCGCGCCTCGCGGGTCCCGCAGGGGCGTCGCGACGAGGCAGGGGCGACACCCGGGTGGCGACGGGGCGGGGCCGCGACTGGCGACGGGGCGGGGTCGCTACGGGCAACGGGGCAGGGCCGCGAAGGGGCCGCGAAGGGGCCGCTAAGGGGCCGCGAAGGGGCCGCAAAGGGGCAGGGAAGGGGCCGCTAAGGGGCCGCGAAGGGGCCGCTACGAGGCCGCAAAGGGGGGGGGGCGCTAAGTGGCCGCGACAGGCCGCGAAGGAGCCGCGGAGGGGCCGTGAAGGAGCCGCGAGGGGCCGCGAAGGGCCGTGAGAGGGGCCACTAAGGGCCGCGAAGGGGCCGTGAGAGGGGCCGCGAAGGGGCCTTACGAAGGGCGCGACGGGCCGCTAAGGGCAGGGGACGCGACGGGAGAGCAGGCGCACGGGGCGCGACTAGGGCAGGCGCGAAGCGCGCTCCGGGCAGGTAAGGAAAAAAAAAATGTTTTAGTGGTGGGCCCTAGGACACGTTCCCACTAGGGAACCTGCTCTGATACCATGTGAAATAATGAGGAATAAATGAACTAGAACAAGGGTGGGTACAAGTAGGAAACCCTAGGAAATTGTACCCCTTAGTGTCTACCCCACTATAGCATAGACAAGCTATATGATGAATGTTTGACAGTTACCATGCATTGGCCTGTGCGAGTTTGACAAGCCCAGAATGAGTTTTGCAACACATCCCCGTCAAAAATACGAGCACGGGGGGTAGGCTATTAGGAAAGCCCAGCCTACGTGCTTGTAATTCGGGTTTCCAAATCGACGTCAGTTTCTGCCCATGCTCTCCCGCTGTTCCCAATCTCTTTACCGATGAGAGGAAACCCCGCAATCTGAGTATTTTTTCCGAGCTCCGCGACAAAGAGGACATTTCTTGGCAGAGACAAAGTGGTTGGGGGAAATAGTCCCGTGGCGAGCCAGGCGCGGCGTACGGCGGATAAAAGAGGACGTCAGGCACGCGCAGTAGTGCGTGGTTCCGCGCACGGCGGAACGGGCCTCATTGAGAGATCTATCGGGTGCTGTAGGCCGGGCCGGAGGGATGGTAGCGCGGGGGCGGAGGTCGAAAGGGGAAGGGCGAGGGTTGTTGCCAACAGACGGCGATATATCTAACCAGTCCTTAAATCTGCTATCCCGAATATCCAGTCAAACCTAGATTGAATAACTCACTCCACAGTGCAGCCGCTCCCTTCATAACTTCCCTTGCCCCCCAACAGTCGCAGTGAAACTTGATTCCGACTTGCATGAATCAAGGGGGCCAGCAACGCCGTGCTTTCCAATTTCCGCGCTAGCGCGCACCTACCCACCATCGCAGCGCGATCTCAACTTCGCGGGCAATCTGCTGCTGCCGTGTAAGATCCGCCGATTGCCCTCTCTTCTTCCCGTCGCTCTCCCTTCCCGTCGTGCTCCCTTCCCGTCGCCCTCCCTTCCCCTCTGCCTCCCTTCCCGTCGCCTTCCCTTCCCGTCGCCTACCCTTCCCGTCGCCCGCGCTTTTGTTCCGTCGCCGTCCGTTCGTCTCGTCGCCCTCCCTTCCGCTCGTCCGCTGCTCTCCCCGTCAATTCTCTCCCCGTCGCCCACGCGTTCCCTGTCAATTCACTCTCCGTCGCGCTCGCTTTCCCTGTCATTTCTCTCTCCGTCGCGCTCTCTTTCCCCGTCATTTCTCTCTCCGTCGCGCTCTCTAACCCCGTCATTTCTCTCTCCGTCGCGCTCGCTTTCCCCGTCCCCCTGCCATCCACTGCTCGTCGACCTCGCCTTCCCTCCCGCCTCCCTTCCCACCTCGCACACAAGTCACCCTACGTATTCTCCCCCTACTCCCTCTTATCCCTCCCGCTAATAATCGCCTTCCTTCCCCCCCCCCCCTTCCCTGCTTTTCCCGATCCCCTTCCCTGCTTTCCCCCATCCCGTGCCCTGCTTTCCCCCCTTCCCTGCCCTGCTTCCCTCCATCCCCTTCCCTGCTTCCGCATGTCCCTTGCCTTGCTTTTTCCCATCCCTCTCCCTGCTTCCCCCCATCCCCCTCCCTGCTTCCCCCCATCCCCTTCCCATGCTCCCCCTATCCCTTTCCCTGCGTCCTCCCATCCTCTTCCCTGCTTCCCCCCATCCCTCTCCCTGCTTCCCCCCATCCCTCTCCTTGCTTCCCCCCATCCCCCTCCCTGCTTCCCCCCATCCCCCTCCCTCTTCCCCCCTTCCCGTGCCCTGCTTCCCCCCATCCCCTTCCCTGCTTCCCCCCATCCCCCTCCCTGCGTCCCCCTATCCTCTTCACTCTTTCTTCTTATCCCAAGCCCGGCTTCCCCCCATCCGTATTTCTGCTTCCCCCCCCCCCTTCTCTGCCCTGCTTCCCCCCATCCCCTTACGTGCTTCCCCCCATCCCCTTCCCTGCTTCCCCATGTCCCCTTACCTGCTTCCCCTTGTCCCCTTACCTACTTCCCCCCCTCCCGTTTCCTTCTTCCCCATGTCCCCTTCCCTTCTTCCCCATGTCCCCTTCCCTTCTTCCCCATGTCCCCTTCCCTGCATCCCTGCAGGGTCTCCTCGCCCGCCACCCCACTTTGCTCAACCCCGACATTTCACGCCCTGATGTCCCGCTCCCGCCACAGTCCATTCAGGCCAATGCACTCCCCCCACCTCCTTCTATCTGCATCCCCTCACATCCCCCTCCCCATCCCCCTCCCCACCACCAGGCGCGCGCCCTGCTAGCATGCCATCAGTCGCCGTGCTATCACGTGGCACCTCTGTGGCGCGCACATCGCCCTGTGACGCACGCTACTACACCTCACATCACCGTCAGCTTTTATCCGTTGATGGCGGGTGCGTGGATGAGTGGGTGCGTGGGTGGGTGGCTGCATGTCCACGTGCATGCTCTGCTATGTGCATGCATGTCTATGGGCATGCATATATATGTGCATGCGTATCTATGTGCATGCTTATTTATGTGCATGCATGTCTATGTGCATGCATATCTATGTGTATGTGCATGCATATCTATGTGCATGCATGTCTATGTGCATGCATATCTATGTGCATGCATGTCTATGTGCATGCATGTATATGCGCATGCATGTCTATGTACATGCATGTTTATGAGTGTGCATGTCTATGCCCACTCTTGTCCATGTGCATGCTTTTCCATGTGCCTGCTTGTTTGCTTCATCTCACTGCCTTGCTTGCTCCCATTGCCATGCTTGCTCTCACTGCCATGCTTTCGTGTCATGCCCAGCCATCATGACATTGGAGACAGTACACACCGTCACAGCACCTACACCCTAAAACCCTCCTTCCCCTTCCCCTCTCCCTTCACCACTTTCCTCGCTGTCTCCACACGCCCCCCTCAGTCCACGCACAGATCATGCTGCTGGTGCCAGCACAAGCAGCCCCATGCCCAAGGACGTTCACCCCATCTCGCACTGGCTGCTCGATGAACCCTCCAGCACCGCCCTGCAACTTGAGCGAACCACAGGCAATACAGTGCAGCATGTGTTAAATCCATTCACAACTGCATGATGTCCACGTTTCCCCTATGTTTACAGCCTCACGAGCGGCGGGAACCGGACGTGACAATCCCTCCTTGCTCCCCCTCTCCCCGCCCGCATTCCTCCCCCTCCTGCATCCTTTGTTCCCACCCGCCTCCCTCCTTGCCCGCCTGCCTCTTTCTTTCCCCACCTGCCTCTTTCTTTCCCCACCTGCCTCTTTCTTTCCCCACCTGCCTCTTTCTTTCCCCACCTGCCTCTTTCTTTCCCCACCTGCCTCTTTCTTTCCCCACCAACAAGGTCTTAGCCGCCTCGCCAATGGTCCGCTTGGCATGCTAAGCAATGCCGTTCTGCTACGGTGTTCCTGGGCAGGTCAGCTGGTGTCGAATGCCGTTCCTCTTGAGAAAATTGGTGAATTCCGCTCCAAGGAATTCGCCACCACGGTTGCTCCTCAACACCTTCACTAGCCGCATCGCTTGCCGCTCCACCATCGACAACCAATCCTCCTTGATCGCCGCTGCAGCATCGCTCTTCTTGGACAAGGGACGTGCCCACGTGAAACGGCTCCATTCGTCCACCATGGTGAGGAAGTACAGCACTCCCCCAGTCCCCTCTGTCCTCATAGGACCCACCAGGTCCATGTGCACCACTTCCAATGGCGCCTTCGCTGATCCCTCCGCACGTGGAAATAAGAACCGCGCAAACTTGTTTTGCATGCATGCCTCGCAGCTGCCATAGTGAGTGCCATCTCCTTGCAGTAGCAGCCCATGCACGCACTTCTCCTTGTGCATCACCTCCAGTGTTGAAACAGCCACATGTGCGAGCCGCCGATGCCAAGTCTCCAAATCCGCTTGGCCTGAGGTAGCCGACGCCTTCACCGCCGCGCTTCCTCCAATCAGCTCCTCTCCTTGCACACCTTGCTGCTCCTCCTCGGTGACGCTCTCCTTCATTGATGCCGCAGCTGCCGCCTTGCCCGATTTCCGCCAAGGGAGGACCGGGATCTGCCACATGCGCTTGTGGATATCCCCTTTCCACTGCATGTCCCAAATCAGCCGCTCATCGTTGTAGGCACGATAGCGCTCCGAGCCAATCGTCTCGGTGTTCACACCCGCATCTCCCAACCGGCCGGTAGAAATCAGGTTCGCACACAAGTCCGGCACCCACAGCACGTTCTTCAGCCCCACGAGCTCTCCATCCGCTCCCATGAACTTGGCGCATCCCATGCCCATGACCTTTGCCTTGGCGCCCGTCGCGGATGTGACTGTAGAGATGGGTGCGGGCTGAATCTCATTGAGTAGGTCCGCACGAGGAGTCATGTGCCAACAGCTCCCGGAGTCAAACACCCAATGGGTGAGGGGGTGTAGGAGAACCTTGGCAGCCATAGCGAGGTCGGTTGCGCCTTCGTTCACGAAGAAGAAGAGCCCGGCCTTCCGCTCCTCAGATTTGGTGCCTTTCTCCTCGTCCTTCTCCTCTCCACTAGCTCCCATGACTCCCCCACTCCTCGTGCCACCACGCTGGTTGCTTGATGAAGGCGGGGTCCAATCCTTGGGTCGTTGGTAGCACTTCCACCAACGATGTCCGCGCTTCTTGCAGTAGAAGCACACCTCCCCTTGATCCCCGCCGCCATCCTCCTTAGGGCTGTCCTTGTTCTTGCCCTTCCACTTCTTCTTAAAGCCACTCTTTCCACCTCCAACTCCATAGCCAGCCCCCTCCTCTGAGCGATCCACACTCCGCCGCCGCAAGTCCTCCTCTAGGATGCGCGTGCGAATGTAATCCACGCTCCATTGGGGCTGTTGAGAGTTGAGGTTGATCGCTAGGGCAGACCATGACTCTGGCAGCCATATCTCGATCTCCACACATTGCACGAGCTCCGGGTATACCACACCACCACCTTGGAGCTTCGTCAAGATGTCCCGCATCTCATCCAACACCGGTTGCATCGGCTCTCCATCAACGAACTTGATGTCGCGCAGCCGCCGTGCGAGTAGCACGATGCCGGTAGCATGTGTCGGTGAATGCACATCCAGAAGCTTCCTCCAAGCCTTGGGGCCACACTCTGGATCACCCAAGAGGTCCTTGATGTGGTCAAGTTGTTGCCCGCAAATTGCTTGCACCATTAGCATGTACGCGTCGAACGATCGCTTCATCCACGCTCCTTTCTGTGGAAAACTGAATGAGGATGAGTGCAATATGAAATGAAGTGAGTACAAATATGAAACCCTAATTGGGTTGTACCCCCTATGGGATACCCCACTATAGCCTACAGAAAAGAGTAAGCTATAATGTTCTGACACACCCCCATAGGCAAAGTGGGGGAGAACAAGGGGTCACAAGACCAGTCAAGCAAAGCAAAGCAAAGCTCAGGGTGGATCACAAAGTCACCACACATTCCGAGCACAAGTTCAAGGGCCACAAGGCCAGTTCACATGCAAGATCATATATAAAGATATACAAGAGTCAAGCAAGTAAGAGCAAGAGTATATATAGGTGAAGGTACAAGCAAAGTCAAGAAGTGAGCAAGTGAGGCAAGACAGGCACAAGACCCAGCTGCGTGCAACAACGCTGATGATCACAAGGCGCAAGTGCCTTGGTGAAGACATCAGTAGTGTTGGCCTCAGAGGCCACGTACGCAAGTCGCAACTGTCCACGCTGCTGTAGCTCACGAGCAAGAAAGTAGCGGAGAGCAATGTGCTTTGTCCTGTGCTCCAGTCGCTGCTCTCGACACAAGGCCAGCATGGCCTTGTTGTCTACGTACAGGACTGGAGGAGAACGAGGCGGCTCTCCAAGGTCGGACAGCAGGTAGGTGAGCCAGCGTAACTCCTGTGCAGCCATAGCCCCGGCGTAGATCTCAGCCTCACAACTGGAGCCGAGAACAGAAGACGAGCGGGTAGCCCGCCACGAAACAGAGCCGGAACCAAGGCTGAAGGTGTAACCCTGTGACGACCGCTGCGTAGCCTGGTCGTCAGCCCAAGAAGCGTCCGCGTGCCCAGTGAGGACCACTGGACTGCGCCCTCCAAGCACTAGCCCCATGCCCCACGTACTGCACAAGTAGCGCAACACCCTCTTCGCTGCAGCCATGTGCTCTGGTCGGTGTCTCCCAGGAGCAACATAGCGTGCGAGAATGCTAAGAGGGTATGCAAGGTCAGGTTGTGTGCAGGTCATCAGGTACATGAGGCAGCCAACAAGCTCTACATACGGGCCACTCGACTCTACGAACTCATCCGAAGGCAGAGCTGAGAGCGAGTGGCGAGTAGGCAGAGGAGTGGCCTGAGGCGAGGAGTACGTGAAGCCGAAGCGCTGAAGGACCTGCTGCACCATGTGTGACTGAGTCAGGGTAATGGTGCGGCGTGCTCTGTCCCGGGTGATCTGCAAGCCAAGGTAGCTGCGCAGTTCACCCAGGTCAGTGCACGTGTGTCTCTTCTGCAGCTCGGACTTCACGTAGGCGAGTCCAGCAGTGTCAGCTGTGGCAAAGACCAAGTCGTCGACGTACACGAGGATGTAGAACGGCGGCAGAGAGGTGTCGGTGCGAAGAAACAGCGACGGGTCGGCAGTAGAAGGAGCAAACCCAAGTGCCGCCAGCGTAGTCCTCAGTGTGTCGTGCCACTCACGTGGCGCCTGGCGGAGACCGTAGACTGGACGCCGGAGACTCCATTGGGTACCAGGAGGGAAAGACCCAGTGAAGCCAGGTGGGCGATGCAGCCAGATCTCCTCGTGCAGGCTGCCCTGCAAGAAAGCAGTGCTGAAGTCAAGAGAGTGCAGCTCGTAGTCACGGTGAGCAGCAACGTGCAGCAGTACCCGAAGAGTGGTCATCTTTGGGGTGGGGGAGAAGGTCTGAAAGTAGTCAACCCCCTGCCGCTGACTGAAGCCACGAGCCACGTAACGCGCCTTGAAGACAGGCGGAGAACCCGGTGGCCGCTTCACCCTGAAGATCCACATGCCACTGACTATGTTCGCCCCAGGAGGGGGAACAGCGTCAACGTAGGTGCCTGTGGACTTCCAGGAAGCCATCTCTGCATCCATAGCTGCCTGCCACTGAGACGAGTAGGGACCCTCTATCGCCTCCGCGTAAGAGCGCGGAGTCGGGATGTCAAGTGCATCCGGGTCTCCCTCA